CTCCGACCGTGTGTGATGCCTAAGGGAAATGATGGCATTGGTCGCAGACGTCATCCGTCCGTGTGTGCTGCCCAGAGGCGATGATGGCATGCCAAGCCCGATGTCGTTCGACCGTGTGTACTATCCAAAGGCTATGATGACATGCCACACCCAAAGTTGTCCGACCGTGTGTGTTGTCCAAGGGCTATGATGGCATGTCACGCCCGACGTCGTCCGACCGTATGTGCTGTCCAAAAGAGGTGATGGCATGAGACGCCCGACGTCGTCCGACCGTGTGTGCTGCCCAAAGGTGATGATGACATTCCACGCCCGACGTCATTCGACCGTGTGTGCTGCCAAAGGACGATGATGGCATGCCACGCCCGACGTCGTCCGACCGTGTGTGCTTTCCAAGGGCTATGATGGCATGTAAGGCCCGACGTCGTCCAACCGTGTGTGCTGTCCAAGGGCTATGATGGCATGTCACGCCCGACGTCGTCCGACCGTATGTGCTGTCCAAAGGCTGTGATGGAAGGTCACGCCCGACCTCGTTCAACCGTCTGTGCTTTCCAAGGGCTATGATGTCATGCCACGCCCGACGTCGTTCGATCGTATATGTTGTCCAAGGTCTATGATGGCATGTCACGCCTGATATCGTCCGACCGTATGTTCTGTCCTAAGGGCTATGATGGCATGCCACGCCCGACGACGCCCAACCGTATATGCTGCCCAAAGGCGGTGATGGCTTTCCACGCCCGACGTCATTCAAGCGTGTGTGGTTTCCAAGGGCTATGATGGCATGTCGTGCCCGACGTCGTTCGATCGTGTGTGCAGTCCAAGGGCCATGATGGCATACCACGGCTGACGTCGTCTAACCGAGTGTGCTGTCTAGGGGCTATGATGGCATGTCACGCCCGACGTCGTCCCACCTTATGTGCTGTCCAAAGGCGGTGATGGCATGCCACGCCCGACGTTGTTTAACCGTGTGTGCTGCTTAAGGGCAATGATGGCATGGCACGCTCGACGTCATCCGTTCGTGAGTGCTGCCCAAAGGAGATGATGGCATGCCGCGCCCGATGTCATTCGACCGTGTGTGCTATCCAATGGATATGATGGCATGTCTGCTCGACGTCGTCCGACCGTGTGTGCTGTCCAAGGGCTATGATGGCATGTCACGTCCGACGTCGTCCGATAGTATGTGCTGTTTAAAGGCGGTGATGGCATGCCACGCCTGACGTCGTTCGACCGTGTTTGCTGCCAAAAGGCGATGATGGCATTCCACGCCTGACGACGTCCAACCGTGTGTGCTGACCAAGGGCGATGATGGCATGGCAGGCCCGACGTCGTCCGTCTGTGTGTGCTTCCCAAAGGTGATGATGGCATGCCACGCCCGACGTGTCCAACCGTGTGTGCTGTCCAAGGGCTATGATGGCATGCCAAGCCCGACGACGTCCGACCGTGTGTGCAGTCCAAGGGCCATGATGGCATGCCACGACCGACGTCGTCTGACCGTATGTGCTGTCCAATGGTTGCGTGTCACGCCCGACGTCGTTCGACAGTGTGTGCTGTCCAAGGGTGATGATGGTATGTGAAAGAGGGTCGATTTATTTTTATCACACACCACTCTAGGCAGCCTTACAAACGTCTGTAACACTCAGCCTACTTGCACCTATGAAAATTGACTAAGTATGGTAATACTTAAAACAATAGCGTCAAACAACCAACAGAATTTATAGGAACTAGTCCAACCTTTATTAACCTTTAAGTAATACAAAGGAAGGCTTCACGAATTAGTGTAAGGCTAGAAAACACCCTATTTTTGCCTTAGACGAATTTCCACCTTTAAATCAAATTCTGCACAATGGCAGTTACATGCGGCGGTTACAAATAACACCTGTCCAACACTTGTCATCACAGGGTTCAAAACTAACTTTCCAACAGCTATATTTCTAACAGATAGAATCTAATTCAAATTACATTCTTATATACACGAAATATTAATATTCTAACACTTAGAATATTTCAGGCTTCATTCCAACACTAAGAATATTTCTGCAAGCTTCAAACCCTTAGAATATTTTCAGCTGTCTTCCAACATTTAGTTTTATTTCAGCAATTTCGGGTGAACTGCCTTTGTTCCTGACATTGCCAAGTCTTCACAGCCTTGCCTCATCAAGTCAACATGCTGCCTTGCCTATGCCCTTAGCCCACACGTAAGCCATGCACGTTCAAGCTGCCTTGCCAACACCCAAGCACCTTGAACTTGTGTTGCAGTGTTTTGCCATCATCCATGCCAAGACCAATGCCCAAGTCCTTGGCATGTCTGCACGTAGTTAGATCAAGCAGTTTGCAGGTCTAACAAACCACCCACACCACTTGAACTCTATGTCCTTATCGAGACTGTTTTGAGATAGTCCTCGATTTGAGCATCAAACTACCATAGGTCTTTTGCTTTCTCCCAAACAGCATCTGCTGCACTCTTGCCTTTCTAGTGAACTAAGAATTCAGTCTTATTATTCTTCTTACTCGTGCCCAAAACTCGGTGATCAAGGATCTTCTCAATTTCAGCATCATACTGTGTAGGTATTGATGGAGGAGACCTCTTTGATCTGTTCCTATCCGGATCATCTTCATCTGCAAAGTAAGGTTTCAAGAAACTCACATGGAAGGTGGGGTGAATTTTCAACCTTTCTGGCAGCTTCAACCTATGAGCAACTTCGCCCACTCGTTTTACCACTTTGAATGGACCATCATACTTAGGAATCAAACCCCGATGTCTGGTCTTACTTACAATCTCTTTCTAGATTTGTGGGGTAAGTTTTAGCAACACCTTGTCACCCACATTGAACTCAACAGAGCGACGATGTTGCTCAACATATTTCTTCATGTGCCGCTGAGCCTTGCGCAAGCTGTCTTGTGCCTCAGATAACATTTCAAGTCTGTCCCTTGCAACCCTGTATGCTGCTGGACACTTTCCCTGATTTTTAGATTTGGCAACATCCAGTGGCGTCATAGGCTGTCTGCCTAAGATGATTTCAAAAGGGCTCATTTGTGTTGCAGACGACTTGTGCAGATTATAGCAAAACTGCGCAGTGTCTAACAATGCTACCTAATTCCGTTGATTTGCTGTCACATAGTGACTCAAGTATTCTTCCAACAAATGATTAATTCTTTCCGTCTATCCATCTGTTTGTGGGTGATTTGCAGTAGAAAACTTTAATTCGGTTCCCATCATATTGAACAATTCTGTCCAAAATCTACCAGTGAACCTTGTGTGTCTATCACTCACAATGTCAGACGGAACACCAAAATACTTAACCACATGTTTGTAGTACAACTCAGCAGCAACTTCAGATGAGCATAATTCTGGAGCAGTAATAAAAATAGAATATTTTGAAAACCTGTGAACTACCACCATGATAGATGCTTTGCCATCTACTTTAGGGTATCCAGAAATGAAATCCATGCTTACTGATCGCCATGGCCTTTCAGGAACAGGCAAAGGTTGCAGCAAACCTGCTTCCTTCTTACGTTCAGTCTTGTCCACTTGACAAACATGACAAGTCTTGACGTACGCCTCTATATCATCTTCCATTTTCGGCCAAAAATAAACACGAGACAGTAAGGCTAACATCCTTTCAACACCGGGATGTCCATCCCAAGCAGAGTCATGCGCCTCTTTCATTATGTCTTTGCGCAACCCACCCTGATTTGGTACAACGATCCTCCCCCTTTAAAATAGAGCAGATCGTCCTCGATCCAATACCGTCTCATTGTGCCATCTTGCACTTGACCCATCCATTTAACATACAATGAATCATTTGCAGCACACAGCCTGATTCTATCATAGAAATCAGTTTCCAGTTTTGAAATTGAATATACTGCAACAAACACTTCTTTTCTACTCAGCGCATCAGCAACCTGGTTGTGTTTTCCTGGTTTATGTTCCCACATGAAATCATATTCTGTCAGGAATTCTTGCCACCGTGCTTGTTTAGGACTCAACTTTTTCTGTGTCTTGAAAAATGTATTTGCTACATTATCAGTTCTCACTACAAATCGAGTGCCCAAGAGATAGACTCACCAAACCTGCAAACTGTGTACCACCGCAACCATTTCTTTTTCATGTGTTGAGTATCTCTGTTCAGCATCATTCAATTTTCTACTTTCAAAGGCCACAGGATGACCTTCCTGCACTAATACGCCACCAATTGCTTTGTCTGACGCATCAGTGTGCACTTCAAATGGTAACTCAAAATCAGGCAATTTGAGTATAGGTTCAGATGCGATAGCAATCTTTAAATTATGAAAAGCTTCATCACACCATTGAGACCAAACCCACTTTGTATCCTTCTTCAACAAATCTGTTAAAGTCGCTGCCTTCTTTGAGTAACCAACAATAACCTTTCTATAATTGTTAGCCAAGCCAAGAAACGACCTCAAATCCTTTACATGACGAGGTGCCTGCCAATCAACAACGGCTTGCACTTTCTTAGGATCCATTTAAACTTGGTTTTACTAACAAGATGCCCCAAAAACTTTATCTCCTGTTGAGCAAATTCACACTTTTCCATCTTGACATAAAGTGTGTATTTCCTCAATTGAGACAAAACCAGACTTAGGTGATCAACTTGTTCTTCCAATGTTCGACTATAAATGACTATATCATCTAAATAAACAACAACAAAGTCATCAAGATAGTCAAACAGTACATTGTTCATTAAGTTACAAAAGGTTGCCGGGGCATTAGTAAGCCCAAACGGCATTACAAGGAATTCATAGGAACCATATCTAGTTACACATGTTGTCTTTGGTTCATCACCCTCTGCTATCCTAACCTGCCAATAACCTGCCCTCAGATCAAGCTTTGTGAACCAGCATGCCTTGCTTAACCTGTCCATCAAATCTTAAACCAACGGAACCGGATACTTGTTCTTTATAGTTGCCTTGTTCACCACCCGGTAGTCTACACACATTCTCATTGTTCCATCCTGTGTCTATTGAAATAGAATAGGAGCACCTTATGGAGCCTTAGACGGCTGAATCAATCCAGCATCTAGCAATTCATTCAATTGTTTGCGTAGTTCAACCAATTCCTTAGGAGCCATACGATAAGGAGCTTGTGCAGGAGCAACTGTACCAGGCAGCAACTCAATCTGATGATCAATATCCCTCCTTGGTGGTAATTTCTTAGGTAATTCAGGCGGCATAACATCAGCATACAGTTTAAGTAATTCAGCAACACAATCAGGCACTTCCATCTTCACATCAGGTTTCACTTCGACCAAGGCAGCATGTATAGTGTCTTCACCTTTCTTCAGCCCTTTGTCGATTGACATAGCAGACAACAACATTTCCTTGTCTTTCTTCTTTGCAACTTTATTAATGTCCCCAAACGGATGAACACCTTTGAGAAAACCAACATTGCTTCCATTCATGACCATCACTCTATCTAAGTGAGGAAATGGAACAAACTGGAATTTCCTTAGGAAATCAATCCCAAGTATGATTTCAAAGTCACCAAGCGGCATCACCATCAAGTTATGTTTTCCCACCCAACTTTCAGTTGACATAGACACACCATAAGCCATGCCCACAATGGCTTGTGCCTTAGCATTGACTGTTTTGACGTAGGAAGGGCTTTTAGACAACTTCAGCCAAAATTTTGTAGCAATCTTCACATCTACAAACGTGTGTGTGGCCCCTGTATCAACCATTGCCATCACACATTGTTCTTTCACTTTCATTTCTATATGAATTAAGGAAGCATGAGGATTCGAAGTACTAGAGATTTCTCCAACATTATTGATCCCCATAATGTGATTGAAGGACAATCCCAATGGGTTGGCCATTGCAGCCATGATTTCTTCATCCTCTTCCCTTTGATTCAAGTTACCATCAAGCAAAGCATTCACTTTTTCTCGGTTTGGACAAGATTTGGCCAAATGAGGACCACCACAAGTCCAACAGCTCTTCGAATTTCCATCTTTATTCTTTGGCCTGTCTTTCCCATCCTTCATTTGTGCCTTTCCTTTATCATTTGTATTGTCTTTACGACTATCCTTTCTCCAGTCCCCTTTCTTCTCATTCTTTTTCTTAGTTTTTGAAGTGGAGGGGACGTCTGTTGAAGGACGAGTCGTCCGAAAATCCACTAGTGAATCGGCAGCAGCAATAGCCCCGGGCAGATCTTTAAAATTCTGCCTTCGTAGTTCATTCTGAGCCCAGCCTTGCATGCCTGAAATGAAGTTGTGAAGTTTATCCTCATCAGACATATTTTGTATGTCTAACATCACAGAGGTAAATTCCTTTATATATTCCCTCACTAAACCCGTCTGCCTTAGCCTTTTCAATTTATCCCTTGAAAGTCAAGATGCATTGCTAGGAAGAAATTGATCACGCATCTCTTTGATTAGCTTATCCCATGTATCAATTCTAGGACGACCAGCACTTACGTCGTCTGCATTACGAGTCCGCCACTAAAGTTTCGCATCACCCGACAAATACATTGTGGTAATGTTCAACTTATCAGCGTCCGGCACCCTTACAGCGGTAAAATACTGCTCCATGTCCCAGATGAAATTTTCCAGTTATTTAGCACTCCTTGCACCACTAAAGGCTTTAGGTTCAGGAATTTTTACCTTAGACGATTCAACACGAGTTGAACTTAACGTGTCCACAGCCCGACACAAAATGATGAGTTCTGCATGAAGGTTCTTATTTTCTCTCTGCAGTCCCTCTAGTTTTTGCGTAGTTGTAGTACGAAAGTCCAAGATTTCAGTAATGTGGTTATCAACATTCTGTCGATATCCACCAATTTCTCCCTGAACTTTCTCAGCATCCACTCTCAACTCAATGATTTGTGTTAATAAATCCACTAACGTAGGATCTCCCAAAATATCTTCAGTAAACCCGATGAAGGATTAAATTTTTTGTGCCAACTCCCATAATTCTGCATTTTTCACCATTCTTTAACCGCACTCTGATACCAATTGAAAGAGGGTCGATTTATTTTTATTGCACACCACTCTAGGCAGCCTTACAAACATCTGTAACACTCAGCCTACTTGCACCCACGAAAATCGACTAAGTATGGAAATACTTAAAACAGTAGCGTCAAACAACCAACAGAATTTACAGGAACTAGTCCCAACCTTTATTAACCTTTAAGTAATACAAAAGAAGGCTTCACGAATTAGTCTAAGGCTAGAAAACACCCTGTTTTTGCCTTAGACAAATTTCCACCTTTAAATCAAAATTCTGCACAATGACAGTTACATGCGGCGGTTATAAATGACACATGTCCGACACTTGTCATCACAGAGTTCAAAACTAACTTTCCAACAGCTATATTTCTAACAGATAGAATCTAATTCAAATTACATTCTTATCTACACGAAATATCAATATTCTAACACTTAGAACATTTCAGGCTTCATTCCAACACTTAGAATATTTCTGCCAGCTTCCAACCCTTAGAATATTTCAGCTGTCTTCCAACACTTAGTTTTATTTCAGCAATTTTGGGTGAACTGCCTTTGTTCCTGATATTTCCCAGTCTTCACAGCCTTGCCTCATCAAGTCAACATGCTGCCTTGCCAATGCCCTTAGCCCGCACGTAAGCCATGCACGTTCAAGTTGCCTTGCCAACACCCAAGAACCTTAAACTTGTGTTGCACTGTTTTGCCATCATCCATGCCAAGACCAATGCCCAAGTCCTTGGCATGTCTGCACGTAGTAAGATGAAGCAGTTTGTGGGTCTAACGGTATGCCACGCCCGACGTCGTCTGAACGTGTGTGCTGTACAAAGGCGGTGATGGCATGCCACGCCCAACGTTATTCGACCGTGTGTGCTACCCAAGGGCGATGATGGCATGTCACGCCCGACATCGTCCGACCGTGTGTGCTGTCCAAAGGCTATGATGGCATGTCATGCCTGACGTCGTCCAACTGTGTGTGCCGTCCAAGGGCTATGAATGCATGTCACGCCCGACGTTGTCCAACCGTGTGTGCTGTCCAAGGGCTATAATAAAATATCACACCCGACATCGTTCAACCGTATGTGTTGTCCAAGGGCTATGATGACATGTCACGCCCGACGTCGTCCGACCGTATGTGGTGCCCAAAGGCCTTGATGGCATGCCATGCCTGACGTCGTCCGACCGTGTGTGCTGTCCAAGGGCTATGATGGCATGCCAAGCCCGACGACGTCCAACCGTGTGTGCAGTCCAAGGGCCATGATGGCATGCCATGGCTGACGTCGTCTGACCGAGTGTGCTGTCCAAGGGCTATGATGGCATGTCACGCCCGATGTCGTCCCACTGTATGTGCTGTCCAAAGGAGGTGATGGCATGCCACGCCCAACGTTGTTTAACCGTGTGTGCTGCTTAAGGGCAATGATGGCATGGCACGCCCAACGTCATCTGTCCGTGTGTGCTGGCCAAAGGCGATGATGGCATGCCATGCCCGATGTGTCCAACCGTGTGTGCCGTCCAAGGGCTATGATGGCATGCCAAGCCGGATGACGTCCGATCGTGTGTGCAGTCCAAGGGCCATGATGGCATGCCACGACAGACATCGTCCGACCGTATGTTCTGTCCAATGGCGGTGATGGCGTGTCACGCCCGATGTCATTCGACAGTGTGTACTCTCCAACGGTGATGATGGTATGACACGCCTGACGTCGTCTGACCATGTGTGCTTTCCAAAGGCGGTGATGGCATGCCACGCCCGACGTCAACGACCGTGTGTGCTGCCCAAGGGCGATGATGGCAAGTCACGCCCGACGTCGTCCGACCTTGTGTGCTGTCTAAAGGCTATGATGGTGTGTCACGCCCGACGTTGTTCAACTGTCTGTGCCGTGCAAGGGCTATGATGGCATGTCACGCCCTACGTCGTCCAACCGTGTGTGCTGTCCAAGGGCTATGATGGCATGTCACACCCGACGTCGTCCGACCGTATGTGCTGTCCAAGGGAGATGATGGCATGCCACGCCCGTCGTCGTCCAACCGTGTGTGCTGCCCAAGGGTGATGATGGCATGCCACTCCCGACGTCGATCGACCGTGTGTGCTTCCCAAAAGCGATGATGGCATGGCACGCCCGATGTCGTCCGACCGTGTGTGCTATCCAAGGGCTATGATGGCATGTCACGCCCGACGTCGTCCGACCGTGTGTGCTGTCCAACGGGTGTGATCGCGTACCACGCCCGACGTTGTCCGACCGTATATGCTGTCCAAAGGCGGTGAAGGACTGCCACTCCCGACGTCTTCCGATCGAATGTGGTGTCCAAAGGCGGTGATGGACTGCCATGTCCGATGTCGTCAGAACGTATGTGCAATCCAAAGACGGTGATGGCATGCCACACAAGATGTCGTCCGACCGTGTGTGCTGTCCAAGGGCTATGATGGCATGCCAAGCCCGACGACGTCCAACCGTGTGTGCAGTCCAAGGGCCATGATGGCATGCCATGGCTGACGTCGTCTGACCGAGTGTGCTGTCCAAGGGCTATGATGGCATGTCACGCCCGATGTCGTCCCACTGTATGTGCTGTCCAAAGGAGGTGATGGCATGCCACGCCCAACGTTGTTTAACCGTGTGTGCTGCTTAAGGGCAATGATGGCATGGCACGCCCAACGTCGTCTGTCCGTGTGTGCTGGCCAAAGGCGATGATGGCATGCCACGCCCGACGTGGTCCGACCGTGTGTGCTATCCAAGGGCTATGATGGCATGTCACGCTCGACATCGTCTGACCGTGTGTGCTGTCCAAGGGCTATGATGGCATGACACGCCCGACGTCGTCCGTTCATGTGTTTTGCCCCATAGGCAAAGATGGCATGCCACGCCTGACGTCGTCCGACCGTGTGTGCTGTCCAAGGGCCATGATGGCCCTGCCACGCTCGACATCGTCCAACCATTTGTGTTGTCCAAGGGCTATGATGGCATGGCACGCCCGATGTTGTCCAACCGTGTGTGCTGTCACTTAGCGATGATGGAATGCCATGCCCGATGTCGTCCGACCGTATGTGCTGTCCAAAGGCGGTGAAGGCATGCCACACCAGACGTCGTTCGACCGTGTGTGTCGTTGAAGGGCGATGATGGTATGGCACGCCCAACGTCGTCTAACCGTGTCTGCTGCCCAATGGTGGTGATGGCTTGCCACGCCCGACATCATTCGACCGTGTGTGATGCCCAAGGGCGATGATAGCATGGCACGCCCGACGTCGTCCGACCGTGTGTGCTGCCCAAAGGCGATGATGGCATGCCACGCCCAACGTTGTCCGACCGTTTGGTGCTGCCCAAGGGCGATGATGGCATACCACGTCCATCGTCGTCCGATCGTATGTGCTGTCCAAGGGCGATTGTGACATGCCACGCCCGACGTTGTTCTACCGTGTGTGCTTCCCAAGGGCGATGATGGCATGGCACACCCGACGTCTTCCGAATGTGTGTGCTGCCCAAAGGCGATGATGGCATGCCACGCCCGACGTCGTTCGACCGTGTCAGCTAGTCCAAAGGCGATGATGACATGCAGTGCCCGACGTCCTCCAACCGTGTGTGATGCCAAAGGGCTATAACGGCATGCCAAGCCCGACGATGTTCGACCGTGTGTGCTGTCCAAGGTCCATGATGGCATGTCATGCCCGACGTCGTCCAATCGTTTGTTCTTTCCAAGGGACATGATGGCATGCCACGGCCGACGTCGTCCAACCGTGTGTGCTATCCAAAGGCGATGATGGCATTGCCACGCCCGATGTCATTCGACCGTGTGTGTGCCCAGAGGCGATGATGGCATGCCACGCTCAATGCCGTCCGACCGTGTGTGCTGCCCAAGGGCGATGATGACATGCCACGCCAAACGTCTGACCGTGTGTGTTGCCAAAAGGCGATGATGGCATGCCACGCCCGACGTCGTCCGACCCTGTGTGTTGCCCAAAGGCAATATTTGCATTCCACGCCCGACGCCGTCCGACCGTGTGTGCTACCCAAGGACGATGATGGCATGCCACGCCCGACGTAGTCCAACCGTGTATGCTGTTAGAGGGCTATGATGGCATGCCAAGCCCGACGACGTCCGACTGTGTGTGTAGACTAAGGGCCATTATGGCATGCCAAGGCCGACGTTGTATGACCGTGTGTGCTGTCCATAGGCAATGAAGACATGCCACGCCCGACGTCATCCGACCCTGTGTGCTGTCCAAGGGCCATGATGGCATGTCAAGCCCAACGTCGTCCGACCGTGTGTGCTGTCCAAGGGATATGATGGCATGTCACTCC